GAGTGGACTGGCTTGTGAAAGGACTAGACCTGCATTGGAAAACAGAAGGAACAATATGAGAAAGGCTGAGCAGAAAACTCACAAAAAGGTGTCCCTCTTCCTCCTCCTCTCCAGAGGAGGAAAGCTAAAATAAACCTTAGGAAGAGTTAACAAAGGAATTGTAAAGTTTAGCTACCCACTGTAGCCAGCATAGCTTTCAGAGCATCAGTGTAATATACTAATAGTGACACTGTTCAATAAATACATGGCCCACTGCATTTTGTGCTAACTAAAGTTTGCAAGTTGCCTTTAAAATTAGCTTCATATAAAGCAAATTATAAGTAAAGTAGTCATTGACTTATGACAATTGAGACCAGAATTTCCATCACTAAACAAGGCAGTTAAGTGAGCCACATCCAATTTTATGACCTTTTTATCAGTTATTAAGCAAATCATGGCAGTTATTAAGTGATTCATGTGGTCTTTAAACAAATCCAGCTCCCCCCATTGACTTTTCTTGTCAGAAGCCAGCTGGGAAGGTTGCAAATCACATGACCCCAGGTTGCTACAACTGTCATAAATATGGGAATTCTGGGAGTTGAGAAACACTGACTTAGGAAGTCATCAAAACATAATGGAATGGAATGGAATGGAATAGAATAGAATAGAATAGAATAGAATAGAATAGAATAGAATAGAATAGAATAGAATCCGGAAGGGACCTTGGAGGTCTTCTAGTCCAGCCCCCTGCTCAAGCAGGAGAACCTATACCGTCTCAGACAGGTGAATGTCTAGTCTCTTCTTTAAAATCTCCAGTGATGGAGCGCCCACGATTTCTGGGGATAAGCTGTTCCGCTAGTTGATTGTCTTCACTGTCAGGAAGTTTCCCCTTAATTCCAGGTTGCTTCTCTCTTTGATCAGTTTCCAACAATTGTTTCTCGTCCTTCCCTCTGGTGCTTTGGTGAAAAACCTCCCCCCCCCCGCCTTGTGGCAGCCCCTCAGATACTGGAACACTATTATGTCTCTCCTATTTCTTTTTTTCTTTAGACTAGCCCAGGGGTAGACAACCTTGGCTCTTTTATGACTTGTGGACTTCAACTCCCAGAATTCCTGAGCCAGCCATGCTGAGGGGAAAGGGAGAGGTTGCCAAGCTGAGCCATGCTGGCTCAGGAATTCTGGGAGTTGAAGTCCATGAGTCATAAAAGAGCCAAGATTGCCTACCCCTGGACTAGCCAAACCCAAATCCCGTTGCTGTACTTCATGTGTTTTAGTTGCCAGGCCTTTGATCATCTTAGTTGCTCTTCTCTGAATTTTTTCCAAACTCTCAACATCTTTTTTGTGATATGGTGACCAAAATTGGCTGCAGTATTCCAGGTGAAGACTGACGCAAAATATGAGCTGAGCAGCTCTGCTTCTCCCTGTTGTCTGTAATTTCCTTGGCATCTTCTCTTTAGTGGACCTATAGTTTCCTTGACTTTTTTCTTGTTGTTAATGTGTTGGAAGAAACTTTTTTTAATTGTCCTTGATTTCTGTTGCAAGTCTTTGTTCGTTCTGAGCCTTTGCTTTCCTGACTTCATCTTTGCATGTTCTGCCTGTCTGCTGATAATCAACCTTAGTTATGTGCCCCTCTTTCCATGTTAGAGAGATCTTTGTGCAGCCATGCTGGTTTCTTCTTGGATTTCTTGTTTTTCTTTCTTAGTGGTATTGTGCTGGTCTGGGCCATAATTATTGGTACCTCTAATGAAATATTATGCAACATATTGTCTTTGGGGGCAGTAACTGCAATCAATCCCTTTCTGTAGCTTCAAATAACACTTCTACATTTGTCATCTAAATATGGGTTCAATTTCTTTATTAATTCAGAAATACAACCAATGAACGTACCTTGGAAGTCATCCTTCCATTACTATCTTTAAAAAAAATTTTTATCATTTGAATAAAAAGTATTAAGAAATTACAAAGTTTATTTGATTTTTAATTTCAATATTGATATTTTTCCACATTTAAAATGAAGTTGTGAGACACATTAAAATCCAAAAAGTGTTTTAAACAAATTATTTGAAGTACTTCATTTCTTAAAGAGTGCAATGTTAACACATACCTTTTCAAAATAATAAATCTAAAGCTTTTATCCAGGTCTTGACTTGGATACTGAAAGGCTAAAAGTGGGAGGGGGGGGCATATATGCAAGCACCAATATTAATTACTCATCCATTCCTACAAGGGTAGATTTCAGTCTGACCTTTGCAGATTCAGTGCATTGTTCTGAAAAGGATTTCTGGGTAGAAACTGAGTTCTCAGTTACTGAAGGATGCTTAGCTAAAATCTATTTTCAAGACCTTTATGTTGAATACATCAAAATCCATAAAGAAGCTTGCATGTTGAATTATTCTCCAGTATACCTTTATCATCATGTTCTGACTACAGTCGGTTTTATTTCTAGGGGAACATGTGCAGAAGTGTGCAATTTTTCACCAAAAACAGTCTTTCAGCTAAAACAATGGGTGCTTATAGCACCCATTAAAACATGGTCCATGTGTCATTTGTATTGGTGACCACTTAGAAATATCAATCAAAATACTTTCACAGATTTTTATCATTACGGAAAATAGGCACCATATGGAATTAGCAGAATCAGAAATCAGAGACAAGAGTTTAGAAAGAGTAATATGAATTGTTTATTCAAATTAAAATATAGCAAATTAAACAAAGTAAGCATGTAAATTACATGAATTGGGCAATATCAAATTCAACCAATAACAGCGGGGCCCATCTCTGGATGAAGATTGTATAGGATCAGGAGCTTCAACTTTACTTTTAAGGTTGTGACCTCTCCAGATTCTCACTGAAATTATCCAGTTTGATTTCCATTTCTGACCTGCTACCAACAATGTACTTAACTTTGTCAACAGAAATGAAAAATATACAAAAACTGTTCAGTTTTTATATTTATCAAGGAACCTATATATTTTGCCTGAGAACTTATTCTATTAAATCTGTAATTAAATAGCAACCTATTGCTTCAAGACTCAACAGTTTTTTTTCTGCAAACTTTCTTACTTGTCAAAGAGTGCTTGAGAACTCAGCACATACAAGCTATTTTGTTATTCAATGTGATCTCATGAATATATTGCCCTAATATGGCATAGACAATGTAATATAGTGAATGGGCACATATTCATTCATTCACTCACTCACTCACTCACTCACAGCAGGCCCTTTCCTCCCCCACATTCATCCAGACTTTCCCAATCTTGAACACAAGCCAGACAGGGAAGCCTGAAACCAGTCAATATACATATCCCAGATGTCTGACCAGACTAGTGGAAGAATTCAAATTGACTGCAAAATCTAAGTCTCAAGAGCAAAGAAACTTGCCTTGGCTTGTCCAACAGGTTCTCAGCTCAGCCCTGAGAAATCTGAGACCTGTACTAAGAGCAGTTATCTATTTCTAGGCTGGGGGTAAGACAACGTGCCAAACTACTATCCGGATATCTCTAGGGAATCAATACTCCTAAAACTTTGATTCAAAATTGCAATCTTTGAGAGACAGGGATTAGTCAGAACCAGCTTTCTGGAGAAGGTGAGTGAATTTCTCTCCTCTAAGGTAAAGCAAAAGTGAGGCAAAGACTTGAGAACAAGTTATGCTAGTCTGCTCTTTCAAAGAATTTGTGATGTTTACATCAGGTCTTTTGTGCTAACTCAAGTCTTGCAAGTGTTGTGCCATCCTAAGTCTGTTGAGCAGCGGTTCTCAACCTGTGGGTCGCGACCCCATTTGGGGTCGAACGACCATTTCGCCAAACAACGCAGTCCGCCATTTTTTCCCCCTTTCCTTAGCTGTGCTACTCCCTTTTATTTTATTGGCTTTTGAAAGCCAATAGAATAGACTCTTTGAATAGAGTCTAATTCTATTGGCTTTCAAAAGCCAATAGGAATTGTCCAGGCTGTCTCTGCCCTGCTGAGCCTGCCAAAAGTCCCATTCTGCAAACGGTGCTGCAAGTTGTCTGCAGCGAAGGCAAGCTGTCTGGAAGCTTCCACCCCTCTCTGCTGAGCAACTACTAAAAATGTAAGTAAAAGAGGGCCAGAGGTGGGAGGTGGGAGGCTGGCGGGCGCAGGGAGGGTTGCTGGCACGCGTGGGGCCCGGCGGGTGCCTTACCTCCCTTGGGCTGGGCCAGCTGATGGCCCAGCCGGTGGTTGGCCTGCTCCATCTCTGCCGCTTGCCAGCTACGCATCGGCCGGTGGAGCGGGCGGCATCACGCATACGCGGCGCTCGCGGGCAGGGAAAGTCGACTTACGACCAGTTGGGTAGTCCTCAACTTACGACCAGTTGGGTAGTCCTCGACTTACGACCGGTTGGGTAGTCCTTGACTTATGACCGGTTGGGGGTCGCGGCATTAAAAAGGTTGAGAGCCACTGCTGTTGAGCCTCAGATTCTGTCCATCGTGTATTCATGCCTAGCCTTTTCAGAGCATTTTATGGAAGAGTCATGTTTGAATCCCTAGTTGTGCTCTTACCAGTATTAAATTACTTTTTTCTATCCAGTTGTAATTGTTTAGACATTTGACTACCTAAAGCTAATATAACTTCCCCCCTTATTATTTTTCATCAAACTATTTTTCCTGCCACCTGCCAATGTGCACCCCTCCTGTACATGTGACTGTTTTTCCCCAAACAATATTCTCATGAATAAATGCATATGCTTTTTCCACTGCAAAATTGGTAGATAGCTAGCAATATTCTTCCCTATTAAAAGTGGACTTAGAATGCATGCAGGTGAACAAATAATTGGGGGAAAAGTGATAGCCCAGATAATTTCCATTACATCAAACTAAAAGGTTTGGTTCATTGAAAAGTGCTGCATTTTTTCATAGTACTTTTCATCCAAAGTAGAGCAAAATACACAGGTTATGAGACTGAACAATATCATTTTTCTTTCCATATTCTGTTCTGATGCCACTGAAAAAATCAATGTAACTTCTTCAAACAAATGCCCCAAATGAATTCCTCCGGATGGACACATGTAGGAGAAAGAAATGGCATTTATTGAATCAGAGAGGTTAAGAATCTGTTTTACCATTATCAATTTTTGGCTCTAAACTGTCTTATTAATAGTTGAATTTTGGCTTAAATAAACATAACAAAGAAATTATACCTCCCTGTTATTTTGCCATAATAAATAAGATTTGTTTAGTTTTAATTATAAATGTGTGTACCTACAATAAACTTGAAAAATAGTCTTTTTTCATCCTATTCCTCCTCCAGATCTGTAGGTTGTTCAGTAAGTCAGACTTTTGATCTACTCTTAAGCCTTGTTTCTACTGCTCTTGTGTCTGGAAGGAGCTTCAAAGTTGGCTCAGACCATTTTTCTCCAACTGCTGCCCTCAAGGAGATTGGAACACCGTTCTCCAATTAGTGTGATCAATCGTCAAGAAAGGGAATAAATTCAGGGAGAATCTGGCTTTTTAGCACAATATGCTGCATCAAGTTTTATTTGTCTAGAAAGAGCCAGATCTGTGCCTCAGGAAACAGGAGAGAGGGAATCCCCCTTGGATCTACTCTAAAGTTGAAAGCATATGGAATCAATATGACAAATATGCTTAGCTCAATATAAAGAATAACCAGGTGGTTTTTTTAATAATCATTGTGATTATTGTATTATGCTGACCAAGATTTCCAAGAATATTACATGATTTTTGTCACACAGAGAATACTTGAAAGTTTAAACCAGTACATCCACAGCAAGGGAGATTTTTCTCTCAGTTATATTCCTCGGTATATTAATATAGGGTCACTGGAGCCTCCTCCCATTAATTAATGAGAAAAAATTCAGGCTCTAGTGTTCTAATGGAACTGTGTCAATGTCTATAGAATCTAAAATACAATATACAACACAGGGTACATAAAATGCAAGACTGACCTACTAATAAGCCCAAATCACTGGTACTTTGAACATTCTTCTTTGGAGGAATTCCTGCCCAAATGGTCAGTGTTACTGAAGACAGATGACCACAGGAGAATCGTCACCAATACATAGAATAGACAATTAACTTTTTAATGCAGCAATTCTAGCATTTTACCTACTTGATAAAAAACGTTATGTATCTATGCAAAAGCTTCTACAAGAATGGGGAAATTTGAGGATTAACCTTTTTTAAGAGTGAAGACTAAATAAACAAATTGTAGATTTTTTTTTAATTATTACTTTAGCACCCAGTTGTTAGACAAGACGCAGCAGCTTTGTCAATAAATTGAGCCAGCTTGACATCTCGCTTTGTCAGGCCACCACAGTCATGGGAAATGAGCGTTATCTGGACCTTTGAACAAGAAAGAAGAAAGATGAACAGTTCATCATACATAAAAAAAATTACAAGTAAATACATTTTTAAAAAAGAACAGAACCATTCATAATTTAATGTATTTCCATGCAGATTATATTTAGTTTGCAAATTTCAAATACATCTTATTAATTTGTATATTTAGTTTAAAAAGCACCTGTCTGCTGTTCGAAAACTGGAATGGTGCTGATCTTTTTTTATATATCTCAGCAGTCAGGTACAGAACTTGGAGACAGTTCTACCACAAAACATGTTTGTAAAAAGCTTCTCTAAAAAGAAGTCCATTTATTTATTTACATTATCTGTAGCCTGCCCCAAACATAATAGACTCTGGGGTATAACTAGACAACACACAATATAAAAGTTAAAATTATCAATAATCAAACATCAAAGGTACTAAATAATTGAAGCTACTTAGGAGTCAAATTCATATCAGAGGATGGCTATCTTAAACTATTTACAAAAAAAATCAGGTTTGTGGTTTCCATCTCTCTCAGGGGGAAAGCATTCAATAAAGTGGCACGCTACCGAGATTTGATATAGCTGTAGTCTCCAAGTCAGCTCCGAAAGCAGAACCATGTTGAATGTATTACAATAGTCCAGGTAATTAGTGATCAGCATGAGTTACTGTTGCCAGGCATCTCACTCCAGGAAGAGATGCAATTAGTATGCTAGCCAAAGCTGGAAGAAAATTCCCCTGACCACAGTTTCCATCTACTGTTTAAGAAAGAGTTGGGAATTCAGGAGAATTCCAAGGTTACAAACCAACTCGTGGTGTGAAGGGTGGGGAGTGTGAACAGCCTAGCCAATGTTGCCAAAGTATCTACTGATAACTAACAACTCTACCATGGTAGAATTTAACCTAGGGTTATTCTACCCAATTGTCACAGCATCCAGGCACCACTTAAAGACTTCTATGACATTTTTGGCTGGCAATGCATAACTGGGTATCAGCAACATATTGATGATGCTTTACTTCAAAGTGATAAATGACCCATGGTATATGTATATTCTGTATCCAATAACATGGGAGAGAGTTCTGGGACTCTCCACATTGGAATTTGCAAAGGGCTACGTCCCCATAATACCAGCTGGAATTGGCCACTTGGGAGGGAGAAGAATTAGCATAAAACTGTTCCAGATTACCAATCCCCGCAGACAGTCCCAAAAGGTACCATGGTTGATGGCAATGAATGCCACTGAGGGTCACAGCAAAAGTCACTGAGCCAGGTGACCAAGGCTGTTTTGTCCTGAATTCTGACTGAAATCCTGTACCATTTAGGATCTCTGTAGCTGATTTGCTGTCACTTTCTAACCCACTTTTACAAGGAAGGACAAGTTGGAAAGTTGATGAACATTGTAAAAGATAGCCAGACCTAGGGAAGGCCTCTTCAGGAGAAGACAGACTACTGCCTCTTTCAAGGCAAGTGGCATTAAGTCTAAACCCTGGAGCCTGCTGCTCATGCCCCCTCCCCTCACATCCCAAAAAGCCAGGAGGACCACAGATCAAACCCACAAGTGGCAGAATCCATACTACCAAAAACCCGATTTCTTTCTTTGGACTTCAGAAGATCAAAAGTATCCCAGGTATAATATGAATGCTGCCTTGCTCACAGTGGATACTGTCCAATTGACCTTGTATTTTCTTTAAAAAGTACTTGTACATATTCACTGCACAAGAACATTGGATTATAACCCATTGCAAGCGAGAAACTGTTCAGTTGAAAATAAACGTGAAGAGCCTGACAATACTTTGCAGACCAACTGCTGTTTCATCCAAGAGATTATTCACATATCTCCAGCAGAACACTATGTTCTGCTTTGCTAAATTTCTTTGTATCATCAGGCTACTAGGGGAGGAGAAAAAGATTAAGTCTAGATATTTAATTCTCAGAAATTAAAATTGTATCAGGAGTATCTAGAAATACACACACGTTAGAATAGAAATTGTTATCAAACCTCCTGTCTGCACATGTTGCCACAAAAATATCTTGTTTAAAATTATGTTAAGTACAGATTTAAAAGCAACAATTTCTCATTAAGAAATGAGAACTGTTAATAAAATTGACAATATTCTAATTGTGAGTCTATCCATATGAAAATTTCAAGATCCTTAATTTAACTTTGGGTTGATTCCTCAGAGACCAATATACTCATTCAGAAATGTTATTTTATTACTTAATCTGAATATATATTTTGAAACTACACCAAGAAATCTAGAATTCTCAAAAATATTTCTTGGCTTTGTAATTTGGAATGTTAACTTGCAATATCAGAAAGCAGGAATAACTAATACTATTATTTTTCTTTAGTTTTAAAAGGGCCTGCTCCTGGAGTCAGGAGAAAAAGCTAATCAATATGGAGAGCCAGTAAAAATCTGCTGCTCCTAGTAGCTTGCAAAGTTTGAACAACAGGGATCACAAATACCTAATATCAGTTCCTAAAGATCTCAAAAATTTGCTACCAAATTAAAATGTATATATGGCAGAAGGGGAATAATTAAATACCATTTGGAGCATAATCATATTAACTCTAATTTAATTTAATATGATTGTAAATAAAATTAATATTTTTTTGCCCTCTACTTTCTGATGTGAGGCCCCGGTGTATATTTCAAAGATCAAGAATGGCCCACAAAAGTTAGGCATAATCGAAATAAACAATTTCTGGAGGGAACATAAGGGAGATAGGGGAGGCAGAGTGACACAAGCAGTGTTATGTCACAATGTAAGCCCTGCTCATTTCTTGCATGTGTCACTACATCACACAACCACACGAATGGGCGGAGCTTCTGTGATATGTTTCTTTCTGTACTATGAAAAAGATATTGAGATAATGAAGTTGCCACTGCCTGGAATATAGGATTATCATACTTTCAAGTTTGGTAAAACAGAATCTATGGATATTTCCTATTATTTCAGTAAGTCAACCCCAGCTATATGAGTGAAGGTGATTACAGAACCGAGCAATCATTGCTAAAATGGGGGGAATGAAAGTGACATAATTTGAAAAAGATTACAACAAACAGAATGAGACTGACTAATGCTCTGATTTTTAATCCATGGGGGGTTAAAAATATAATTGGAGCCTGGTATTCACCAATGAAAAGAGAAAATATTCGTTCATTAATATTAGGTCGTTACCTTGTTGTACACATTAAACCATTCAGGATGATGATTCATCTTTTCAGCTTGAAGAGCTACCCGAGTCATAAAACCAAAGGCCTGCATAAAGATTAAATGCATGTGTAATTCTTAAAATAAAGCATATTATTTTATTATGCATGTGCAAGAAAGGAAAAGTGTCAAAATGTAACAGTGAAAAAAAGCAAACATGTATAGGCCTGATACTGTACATGCAGTTCTGGAAAAAAAAAATCTTGGTTAAATTTTACTAGTAATGGAGAATGATACCAAGAAAGTGTGTCACAGAGATTATTTCAAAAATTGTTACAGAATCTGATGAAGCAGGCAAGTGTTTGTATCCTTACACTGCAGATAAAAAAAATATCTGAGTTAATAACAGGGTGTGATTTGATTCAAATCAAACAAAGCAAAATTGTATGTGCTCTATTTCATCCACTTTGTCTTGTGCAAAACAAATTCTACAGTATACATACATCCACATAGTATATGAGTGCTTAAAGTATCAAGAATCCAATATTATATAGTGATTTTCCCTTGCTAAAACCAAACAAACTGATCTCAAAATAAGACTAAAAACCTAATTGAAAGATTATTTTAACAGCAATAAATCTGTGATACATTAAGTATGATCTTTCAAAGTGCATGTATCATCAATATACTAAAGTCTTGTTATAAAAAGTTTGCAGGGGAAAAAAACCATGTTCAACCCTATGACAGCAATTTTGACTAAACATATAATCAAGAAGTAGTATAATAGTTCATAATAGTTTCAGTATTTTTTCCTCTACCTCTGCTGACTGAAGTATGACTCTGCAAATCACTTCACCAGTCAGATGAATGCAATCATTACAATCAGAGCAAATTATTCCAACAAAGTTTTTCATGTACAAATTATCAAAATGTTGGCAATTGAAATTATTTGCTCTCAAGTGAATCACAGAATTGCAGCCATTGGTTCACTTGATTTTGAATTAAATCTCAAAGTTAAACCACTGTAAATAGGTTTGAAACGTAAAAGTTTTGAAACTATTTTTGAAACACTATGCACTTTAGTTTTCAATAGTGATAAAATAAGGCATTCTCTACAATTCTGCAATTTAATGAATGGCATGATTTAGAGCATTTACTTTATTACTCTTTAAAAGAAATTTACTAATGTTTCCATTGTGATTATTTATTTACTAGAATGTGTATGTAATCTCACTTCCAGGTTACAGTACTACAATACAATACAAAAAAAGATAAAATCAAAATAATCATAATTTTCAGTATAATTATCTACATCAACTTCCATATTGCAAAAAACCTCCTAATGAATACAGCAACTAAACAAAGCAGGCATCAGACTGGCTGTCCCTTTCACACTGAGATTATTTATGAACTTAATCCCTACATTTTGAAGTTATATTGTCTTTATTCTACAAAGAGATGGAAGGAAGCCAGCTCTAATAGATAGGGCACAAATGTTATCTGTTCTTTGCTTGAGAGATCACCAAGAAAATCCACATTAATAGTTGAAAAAAAACAACCAAACAATCAATACAAAAGTTGACAATAGTAAATTGCAACTACAAACTATACAGCTACATGGATGTGTCCATGAAGTCATCAAACCTCATTCTTGATTTGAGGGACTTTTCCTTTCACTTAAACTTGAAAATGTTCTAACATTTGAGTAATACCATTAGATCCTTACCTATAGCTGTATCAAACTTTTTTTCTCCAAATTCCATAACCAGAGATTGATCACATGACTGGTCACAACATAGAAATTGTTTTTCCTCGACCATATATAGCTACCTACCACTGACTTTCAACCATGAATATTGTCTAACGCATAACTATCAATATTTAATTCAGTCCCTAAAACATTACTTATGACCCATGAAAATGATAATTATGGTGCAAACATTATATAGTTTAATTAGAAAACTTCTCTACCTGCTTTCCCGGTAATAAAAATGTGTTTGGAAATATAAAATTTGGAAATAATCTCTACTGGAATTATCTGAAAGTTTGCTATGGTCAGCAATAAATCTAGTGTACCAATAGCCCCTAACACTAAATCTTGCTTAGCCCTGGGATTTATGGGCAAAATGATTAGACAGTAAGTGATAAAAAATTATATCTGCTTGAGATACTGGAAAGATACTGGCAGCAACAGTACAAGTCAGTTCTTTTTTCCCCCAATATTCTTTGGATTGAGGGCAATGCACCTTTAGTTCCTGTCCAGGGAACTAATTAATTAATTTAATCCATATTCCTCTGCCTTAAGATTTCCACTAATATTGTGAGGATAGATATTACACTATAGATCCCCATTTACTTAGTTTATTTTTATCTATCTATCTAGCTAGCTTGCTATCTAGCTATCTAGATAGCTATCATCTATTTTAATTTATTTTAATATGGAAATCTCTTTGCTTGAGTAGTTAGCCATGCTGGTGAAGAAAATGTTTCAACTATCAATTAGAGTTATATAAAAATATAGTTTTGTTCAAAAGACCAATGGTGACACGCTTCGTTCAGAGACCACTGGTGATCCACAAAGGCAACGCAATTAGCCTCTAGTATAGGCATCCAAAAATAATAAAAGAGCAAAAATATCATGAGATTATTAAATCTCCCTAGGTTTGGGGGTTCCAACCAATATCTTATGAGATTTTGGGTAAGAATGTCAAAAAAAAACCCTGTGAGATCCTGTAAGCTACTTAGTTTTTTCAATCCTATGTTTAGGTCCCAATATTTCTCAGGCAGAATCATGCATGTCATGTTGTCCACAGACCTATGCTGCTAATCCTAGATCATATTATAGTCCTCAAAAAGAAAAGATTGGAAATTGTTGACATAAATCACAATAAGCAAATCAAAGGTTTAACAGTATTAGCATAACAAGTGGGGTATTTTGTTCGTTTTTTAAGTATTAGGAGTTTGATTGTGTTTGGAAATTTAATTTTATAGAGTAGACCATTGAATGCAAGCTAAAAAAAGTTAATTACATTAAAGTCCTAATGAGACTATTAATGTCACTCAATTTATTAACTACAATAATTTTTAAAAGAACTCTTGCTCAAAGGTTCTATGATATTTTAAAATATTTTATGGATCTTGTAGAATTTCAAACAGTGTAAAAATTTACCTTGCTGCAGTCAGGTTTATATGTACATCTAAGAGACTCATACCTTTATAGTCCATTTTAAACCCGGACAGCTGTCTCCCCCTTACATATATTTTTTACCAAGAAAATGAAAAGCAGGTCTGTTGAAGTAATTTCAGCAGAGCAATCTCCATTAAGCTTCCTAAATACTTCCCTTGCTAATTAAATGAAATCAGAACTTTATTGTTTATGGATCACCTTTTGTATCTGTAGGCTTACAGCCTTCTTTTTTTTATAAAATACAATTGAGAATGGGGGAAAAAGCTATTTAGGATTGATTATATATGAAAACATTATTACATAATCAGTTTGGACATTTCTTCACGTCTTGAAACATAATCAGTAATTGGATGTAATTGGTGATCAAGGAAACTATCTGGTGATCAATTAAAGTAATTACTAGATTCCGGCAACACAACCAATCTTAATTTGAGCAAGAGTCTGCAATTCTTCAACTTTAATTTAAAATAATGAATATTATTAAGCAGTCTGTGAGCCAAGATCATGGTCAAGCCTACATTGTATGTAGTAGTCAAATTAGTTTTTGGAAGTTTTTGTTTACCAGCAAGCGAAACACTTCATGTTAAAAAGTGTTTTGTTTATTTTGAAAAAAAATGCACCGTGGTCTTGACCTTCATATCAGCACTATTGTTAAGCTTACCACAACAAGGATATTTTAACATCTGGAATTTTTTTTCCAACTCATTGAGCAAGTCTTAAAATAATTCAATAGAAAAAGAGCACCAAGCAGTGAATAAGCCTACATCTTAAAGATCATTTTTCCCCTAAGAATCAAAAATTATCTTGGAGAACATTCTGGGACAATCTTATTACAGTAGCAAAGGTATAGGATGTATAAAAAAAATACAATTTAAACATTTGTATTATACAATTTGCATTCAATTACATTTTTCTCAGGAAGTTTGACCAACACAACTGCTATACTTTTTCAGCTTAGTAGTTTACTTCCAAAATTAATTTCTCACCAGAACAAGCCTTTTCTCCTCCTCAAAGAATTCCTTCCAACTTGAGAAAAGTTCTCCCTTTTGCACATATTGTTCCTTAAATTTTATATATTACAGCTTGCATCTTTCCTACATTCCTTTACATTTCTGCATTGCTACACTCAAGTACAAAGTCTTCCTGTTTCCTTTTGATCCCAATATTTTCATTACAGATTACTTAATAACTCAGCTAAAGTGCTATGTAATTTCTTTAAAAGAAAGAATTCTCAAAGAAAAATAGTAACAATATAAATATTTTTTCATTATTCATTCCTTGATTTTGTTTAAGCATTCAATAGACAAAAGAACATTAATCCCATGTTACTTAACTTGTAGCTTCCATCAGGTCACAATATTCCATTGATTGTTGTATTAATTTTGACACCAAAGATTAAATTTCTTGATAATTTTCTAAATAATTGAAGTTGCTGGTATATTATCATGAGTCTTTAGGCATACTATGTCGGAATAATTTTTACTTAAAAGTATGTACTATCATGATGCATCTACTTCTATATTAGCATTACTGTGCCACTTTATATCTAATTAAATATGAAACACATATACTAATCAATCTCAGGGTTAGTAAAGTTTCTGAGAAAATATCACAAATCTTCTGAAGGTTATACTATGTTTAGAAGGTTACTTATTTCATTGTTATCTTTCACAAAATTGGATTCAACTAGCTTTACAATATTTTTTTTGCATTAACAATTACTGTGATTAAACATATTGCTGGAATTAAGCTTAATTAAAATAATATTAAATGTGTTTATATATAAATGGCAGATAAACTGTAAAATACCAGTATTTTACAATATTCCTAATATCAGTGATAGGAATAAATATACTATAGTCACTGTACTATAAATCTTTTATAACTAATGATCAGATACAACTTAAATGTGTCAGTGAAC